GGAACAATCAATGGGGTGATTGTGGGGTTTTCGTGGGGTCATGCTTCATCGCAGTTAAAATCGATGCAGTCGACGGTCATTATAAAGGCATGTGGCAAACTTGGGATCACATTTCCGCAGCTCGAAAGGCGAAAACATCCGTGGGAAGTAGATCCGTGTCACCAAGTTTGCCCCGGAAACTTCCGCCTTAGTCACATTCCGTGGGCGTCCAAACGCCCATTTATTTATTCATTTACTTTTGTCTTTTGCGCATTATTACGAACTTTGCATGATTTGCCAGCTCGTGGAATTCCCACTGCTCAGCTGTGTGAGGTTTAACTAGTTGTTTTGAGGGCCGCAACTAGGCACAAACTTCTTTGAACCTCGACAATAGTTCCTTACTTTTACCCAGTCTCGAACTGTCGTTTACCCCAGCTAGGCTGCAGACTCCTTGTTCTCGAAAGGGCGGTCCAAAGTTCGCCCCCGGGGGGATCAGAGGACTTTTTTTCTTCCTTCCTGAAGAAGGAGGCGAGTGTCTGGCCTCTGGAGGATACAACAGCGAGGTCAGAAGAACTACAAAATGCTTGCCCTGATCTCGAGAAACTGCTGCTGGTCAGTGTGGCCGAATTCGAATGTCACCCAGCAGCAGCAGCTTGGGTTCAGTTGTGGCCAGACCTTTTTTTCGGGTGTTTTGTATTCCATCAGGGTTCCATACATGACGATACAGTCACATTTTACTCAAAGAGCAAGTTCAAATCATTATTTTCTCCTTGCTCTTTTTCTGGGTGAGTATATGCGACAGTGTCTTGGAAGCAAAAGCACTGGCCTATCGACCATCTCATCCTTTTTTTAAAAGTTCAAGTGCCTCTATTTCAAATTATCCATCCTGAAATTGCAGTTTCGCGGGTTAACAGCTGATTATAGGGATGTTATAAATGTATATGCTGTAATTTCAAGAAATTGAGGTTTTATCGATTAATTCTCGTAAGACTGAGAAAAATTGATGCAGGTTTTGAGTACCACTCTTTGATTCATAGAATTTTTGAGTTTTCTGACGGGCTGTTCAATGCCATGTTTTTTTTTCTTTAAGGAAGTGCTGGTCACAGTGAACATTCTCTTTTATTAGTTAGTCAGATTTATCTTGTGCTCATGCTATTATTCTGGACAAGAAGTTGTGTTCTGCTGTTTTCTTTTTCTCCTGTACTGTATTAGACAGCAAGAAATCGATCTCTTCTTGGTTCAGTTGAACCTTGACAACTCGAAACTCAAAAAGTCAATCATCTGTCAATGGCAATTTTTTCAAGCCCCTCATTAAATTCCTTTAAAAAAAATGCAATGAAACCTCACTTAACTCGGTTGCTTTTCTCGTCAAACCCCGATAACTGAAAATTTTCGAAGGCCTCTGGGTTAAGTACTTATTGACACAGAAAGAAAAAATAAATTAAGATGTAACTTGAAAGAAAGTGAAAGACTAATAGGGCAAAGTAACCCTCGCCTTCGAGTTCAGCATCCTGTCAACTCTTTTTCTGAATTTCAAGCAGACAATCGCGAATTGTTTTCTTTCTGTAATTTTTACATGCATTGTGATTACATTAAAAAAAAATTAGCTGTTTCCATGAATCGAAAAGTCCCAAACGCAATTTTTTAATGTTCGTTTGAGGCTTGACTTGAGAGGTTCGACAGTACTATTTTTCCTGGAAATAATCAGGGTTATTTTTGGCGCGAAACCTGTCTGTGAAGGGCATTACGGTATTTCTTATTCAGTGCACAATATCCTGATTTCTGCACCAGAGCCCATTTCATCCCTATAATGCGGTATATGGAAGTTTCCTGCTCTGAATAATTGACTCACTGCTTGTGTTTGTTTGTTTGTGTGTGTGTGTGTGTGTGTCTGGGCCAGAGAGACTGAAGTCAGTTGCATTTGTTGGGCTTACTATGCTTTTATTCATATATTTTTGAGAACTGTGTGCTGTATTTCGTATGATGGAAATCGATTCGGAAAACTATTTTCAATGCACATCATATAGTTGGGCCCCAGCGTTTTCGAGATTTCATTACCCGTCTGGGACAGCAGCTATAGTGGATATAGAATAGGGGTTAGCCCTGACTGCAATATCAAACATCCCCCGCAACTACATGACACGGACACTATTTTGTGGCCCGGGGTATAAATGCAGCCAGCAGTTTATGCGTACAGTATATATATATATATATCCCTCTGCTGGTGTTTTTCTACCCCCGTTGCCACTCATCCGTCATAGGACATGACGTGCATTTGCTCCCAGATTTCCCCCGATTTCTCACGCCACCCGTTCTTATACTGTTTGGGATTGGATTTATTTTTGGGTGGGAATTCGAAAGCCTTTTTTATCGTCGTCAGCGCCGAATTTGAGACATAAGCTCGTTAAAAATTAACCAAAATTTTTATCCCGAGAAGACCCTTTAAAGGCACAACGTCACAAGTTTAAGCCTTGGTCGTGTTTTATTTTTGCCCCTTCAAGTCATATGATCTGAAAAAGCGCGTAACGTGGAAGTTTTTGTGCTGAAAAATGCGACGGGTTTTTTTTCTCACGAACATTAGATGACATAATCATTTTTCGAATGCATAGGCCCAATCTGCGAGATTCGATGAAATTTCATGGTGGAATCAAATACTTCATAATAAAGGGCATATCATAGGGTACAAAACTTCCTGCGCATGTCGGTTTGCTTTATTATTACTTTTTTAGTTGTTTTTTCTCTCTCTGTATATATCTGAAAAAAGAAAAAAAATTGTTCAAATGGAAACCATCATGCTGCAGAGTGCAATTTTCTTGTGCTGATGAGATGGAATAATGCACTCATCCTGAACAGCTGCGCTCCGGCATAAAAAGGGGATATTTTTGCATTTTCCCGGAGCACTGCGCCATTTTTGCCGCCCTTCTGTTTTTTTTTTTTTATCGTACCCCCTGTTTGTATAGTACTGTACTTCAGTTTTTCTGAATTATGACAATGGAATGAAAACAGATTCATCTCGAGAAAGGATGCACCCCAGACTGCAGTTTATGCTCTTCATGTTCTCTTGGATTAATTAATTTTTTTCTGCACGAAATGATTAACGATTATTAAATCCCTTCTTCTCATCAGTACAGTTTCATTTTACAGCACTTGACAGGAGGATTCAAAAATTTTATCGGGTCAAATATTCAAGACTGTTGAACACGCGTTTCTCGAAACGCAAACTCAGTGCAAATTGACATGGAAAAACACTTTTTTTCCAAAATCAAGGTAAATTTAGCAGAATAAACTGTGTTGTCCTTTCTATTACAGGACTGTGAGTCAAGAATAAAAGAACTACATTCTTATTCTGGATTAATATCCTTTATACAAATATTCTCATCCACATAAAAACATTCAATACAATAATACAAATGCACAAACACACAAGTCCAGCTTGCTTTACTTGAAAATAGGTTTGAGCTTTTAGCAGGTATCTGCTATGGAGTTTATGGTACAAAGCTTGGATGAGATCTCTCTGAGATTTCACCAAGCACAGGTATTTGAACCTGGCCAGCATAGATGGGGGAAACAAAGGAAACAATCATTGCAACAATGATGATGGAAATCCTGATCCACAAAATGAACAGGCACCTTAACGAGACTCACCTTATATTAACGAGACCAATGTGTAGTCACTATTACTGGTCTGTGTTGTTCTCGTTCTCTGTGTTTATAGTGAGGGTAAAACATTTCTCAACTCGGGTGGTCCTAAAGTGGATTGATTGCATTTTAATTACTTCTTTAAGGCTACTGTAACTTGTCATGGAAGTTGTAAAGACTTCTCATCAAGGAAATTGCAGCAATTATATTTGCCTTAGCAATTTCCCGTTTCTAAGCTTTCTAAAAAGGTCTTCTCTGAAACTAGCAAAAAGGTTTTCTGTAAGTTACTGTATTTCTAAGATAACAACTGGTTTAACAATAATTTTGCAGCCATGTGCTTTCTTGAGCAGTGGATGAAGTGAAGCATGTGCCATTTAAAAGTTTCTTTTTCTAAAACACAGAAAAGGAGGAGATTTCATTAGGAATGACATTCATCACAAAACACGTTGAAGAAGCTTTTAATGCTACTTTGCCATTCTCAAGTTGTTCAAAATGTGAAAAAGAAACTCAATAAATTAAGCAGCATATGCTGTTTTGTTGCGTTTGTCTTTTCATGAATATTTAAATTTAATATGTTTTATTTGTTGTTGTACACTTATTGATTTTGCGGCTCACAGGCTAAAACCCTGGGTGTCGCCAACCTTTATGACGATAATCTTATCAGTGTCGACGGAATTAAATTAGTTCGCTTCCCTTTTACCGGATGCGTCTCAGACCAAGTACGTTTAGTACTTAGGTAATTGTATTAGTAAGCAATGAAACACCAATATTTGTATATTCAAGTGTTTATTGGACTTTAACAAGTATGCATATCATAGCGAGGATAGGCCTGAGACGAAGAAAGGTCTCCCTTTGTAGGTGACGGCCTAGACGATAGATCAGTCCCGAAAATAATTGAAGCAACTCTTGGTCTGTCTTGTCCCAGTTACTAGTCTGCAATCGGATGAATTCAAAGGAAGTAAAGAAAGTATGCAACTGGGACGAAAGTATTCCGCAACAGTGTTTCACCATTAAATTATACAGCAAAGGACCGCCGACGGCCATCGTTAATGAGTCTGAGGGGAGAGGAAACAGAGTTGCCCGCGCATGCGCGGCGGTCACGCTTTAATGAGCATGGCGAGGGGCGAGGAAAAAGTGGAGCAATTCAGCACAGCTGATAACATATTTCATATTCGGATATACATTTTTTTTATTATTTCTTTGAGGGTATTTCAAGCCTTCGTTTCTCTGGGGGAATTTCATCTACTAGCTGGCTGTTTGCAATTTCGAAGCCCATATAACCCATATTGACCTCTTCTTTTTGTGTTCAAGAGGTCGTGAACGTGCGCAAAGATGGCAATTACTCTTTCCTGCCGAAGTTCGCACTAAGCAATCCGCTGGAATTAACTTTTCGGGCTCTGGGATTGGTCCGTTGTTTGAAAACCGTCGGATTGGGGCCCATTCTGCAGGTTCTTGTTACCCGGGTCGAGTTCAGTACCTTCCTTCCTGCTTTCATCAGACGAAAGTCCTCTTATTCTGTAAAGTACCGGATATTTTGCTCTGTTGCGTTTGCGGAGATCCAGAGGCATATATAATCAGGAAATGCAGTTACAATTTGGAAGCTTCCTCCTGGGTCAAGTTGCTAAGAATCTTCTCTTTAAAAGCGTTTTGACACGGAGTTTAGAACTTATCGTATAAAATATAATCTCTCTTCGCAGCAATAACATCAAGAAAATATTCATTCAGTGATTCCGTTAGTTATTCTCGGTGATATTTTGTTTTAACGCTCAAGAGGTAAAAATCACTTTTATGGACGTGTTTTCGATACGTTAAAAAAATACAGCACTTTTCTCCCCAGTTTATGAAAGTAAAAGCCGGTCACTTTCTTCCGAAATATTTTGGAAATGAACAAAGAGTCTGCATTAGGGAAGTCGGCGAATTTCGTATACTGCTGCCAGCGAAGGCCATTATTAACCGGCAATAACTGTCACTTACAGGAGGACAGGCGGAAACTTTTTCGAGTACTTGGAAAGCTGCGCATCAGTACTCATCTCATGCAACGTGACTCGCCGTTTCCTCTGCAGAATTTCCTTGGGCCCCTGGGGCAAAGCGGCTTCCGAAATAAATACGCGAAGTACTCATTAAATAGGTGTGCTCACCCTCGAAATCCTAAACCTACAAATTATATTGTAAATAAAATTCCGTATTGTAACGGCATGATGTTTTTTTTTTCTTTTTTTAATTAAGATAAGTAAAAAGGGGGTTGTTGGGTTCGAAGTCTGGGCGGAAGCAATGCCATATTTGTTGTACGCAATGACCCCTGTTGCTCTTTGAAGTGACGGCTATTTTTTTCTGATTGCAAATGTTCACCCATTGAAATATTTTTTAGCACTGTACTGCGTAGCTCTTCAAATTTACGCTGGTGTAGGAGTAAATTTGACGCGTGAGAGATACGGCATCTGTTTTCAAGCAAAATTAATTCTCATTTTACATTCATATGTCAACACTTCGTTAAAATTTTCATCTATGAATGTCCATATCTGTACTTTTATTTCTTATACGTAATGCTTTATTCATAATTTCTGAAGCGTTGAAGATATGTCTTGAACTTCGTATGCAATATGAGGTTCGATGTTTCTTTTTAGTGAAGGATGTCCCAAGCTCCGCAGAGCCACTATAAAACAAAATTGCGAGTTCTCCATTTTTAGTGAAAATACCTGCACAAAAGCTATGCAATTTTTTTATGTCGTGAAAAGAGGGGTCAAATACTTTCATTTTCGGCCAGTGAAAGAAGGAAAGTATTTTGGAAATGAACAAAGAGTCTGCATTAGGGAAGTCGGCGAATTTCGTATACTGCTGCCAGCAAAGGCCATTATTAACCGGCAATAACTGTCACTTACAGGAGGACAGGCGGAAACTTTTTCGAGTACTTGGAAAGCTGCGCATCAGTACTCATCTGACGCAACGTGACTCGCCGTTTCCTCTGCAGAATTTCCTTGGGTCCCTGGGGCAAAGCGGCTTCCGAAATAAGTACGCGAAGTACTCATAAAATAGGTGTGCTCACCCTCGAAATCCTAAACCTACAAATTATATTGTAAATAAAATTCCGTATTGTAACGGCATGATGTTTTTTTCTTTTTTTTTTTTTAATTAAGATAAGTAAAAAGGGGGTTGTTGGGTTCGAAGTCTGGGCGGAAGCAATGCCATATTTGTTGTACGCAATGACCCCTGTTGCTCTTTGAAGTGACGTCTATTTTTTAATGATTTGAAATGCTCACCCATTGAAATATTTTTTTAGCACTGTGTACTGCGTAGCTCTTCACCTTTACGCTGGCGTAGGAGTAAATTTGACGCGTGAGAGATACGGCATCTGTTTTCAAGCAAAATTAATTCTCATTTTACATTCATATGTCAACACTTCGTTAAAATTTTCATCTATGAATGTTCATACCTGTACTTTTATTTCTTATACGTAATGCTTTATTCATAATTTCTGAAGCGTTGAAGATATGTCTTGAACTTCGTATGCAATATGAGGTTCGATGTTTCTTTTTAGTGAAGGATGTCCCAAGCTCCGCAATTTGGTTCGTTGCTGCATAGGTGTCGTCTGCATTTATCAAGTATAGTACAGCAAATTTAGTAATTTTCGGTTAGTTTGTATCCATGTAACATAATGTCGGCCTGAGAAGGAATCAGGAAAACGCTGCTTGATAATTGAAAGGTCTGGTTTTTTCAAGGAAAAATTATAAAATCAAAAGATTGAAACTTGAATTCAAAAATCCCTAAAAATTATAATTTGTTTCCTATTTCGATGGCTCAAATCAGCAATTTGAATATTAAAAAAAATTAAGATTCCTCGGTGCCTTGAGAAGCTGCAATACTTGATCATGACCGAGCAACACTTCATGCTTGATTTGATTTAAAATGACGTATTTTTACACCGGGCGGAAGTGATCAAGAATTTCACGAAGTCTCTGGTTTGTCCTATAGTCTGGTCAAAAAGTTGCGCCATTTTCTAGAATCCTCTCTTTTATGTTGCCTGAATGCTTCCAATGTGTATGCGGTTTGAAATTTGATTTTTTTTAAATACTGCATGCCAACTGAGCATGCTGTGGACAATGTATTTATTTCCATCAAGCAACTTTAGATTTTTCTGGAATGCAGCGTTACAATAATTCAAGAGGAGATCCACGAACGTACATTCCGAAATTGTCTTTACAAAAGTTGATGGTGAGGATACATCCAGGTTTGTTTAGTTATTTTCAGCAGACAGCATTCGGTGCCATCCTGCAAAATTATATTTCATTCTGCATGTACGCCGAAATGGAGGAGGAACCGGGATTTGGAAGTGAGACCTACATGGAGCATATACCACGAATAACAAGAATCGTTCTCATTCATTGTAGGTGTCGCTGCTCAGTAAAGTGGTGTAAATTCTTTCTCGAAGTTCCCATTGATAGTTATTATACATTATCATCATAGAAGCTTAGGCACCTGAGCGAGGCAGCACAAGCTGCATAGCACAGCAGCCATTAGATACACAGAGTTATCCTCTACTTCTGTAGGTGTCACTGCTATGAAAAGTGGAGCAATTTAATGCAAAATTTTATGGAGCACATTTCGAAAACGTCCTCTGAATCACACACATTTTTCAAGTCTTCTTTTAATTGCTCATTGCTTTCTAAAGTTAAAATTATGAAACACCACCACAGTTTCAGAAAACCAGAGCTGTGCTGTACAGTATAACGGAAAATGTCTGGGTTAATTAGGAAGTGTAAAGAAATAATGTATAGTCCAAGGGCGAATCGAGTGAAAAAAGAAATTTATTCGAAGTTATCAGCCATATGAACTTGCTGGCCCTACAAGAATGAAAAAAAATCTCATAACTTTTTTAAAACATATGTAAAAGCCATCATGACGGAATAAAAGAAAATATAAATTATCGCTCGCTGGAAGGACAACATTCGCGCGTAGTAATTCGCAAGGTTTCGTAGACCTGAATTCCATAGAAAACGAGTTTGAAGCGATTTCACTGCAGATTAGGTTTGCGCAAAAAGCGAGCATCTCGAAGCTGAACACTAAGTTTACTATTCGAATATGCCAGACCAATTTCGAATTTGAAAGGGATGGTTCAAAAGTTGTATTAATGCCTTGATGTGAGTTCGTTACTAACGCAAGTTTCTAAGTCAAGATCATTTCAACTATTGACTGGAACTGTGTCAATTTTCTGATGATTCTTTTCATGCTGGTTCAAATGCAAAAAAGTCCTCGCTCATTGCGCTATTTAATCAATCAGGATAATCGGAATCAAATTTCATTGATCTGAAAATTTTCGTTATTAAGACATAATTTTTATATCACATACGATGTGAAATTATACGACTTTGAAATTGCAATATAATTTTTGTAGAAATTCTCAGCATTTAGTCTTCCATTTAAATTTCAAAATATTCAAATGTACCATGTATACTGTATATATTTTATTCTCAGAGATGGGTGCTATTTCAATTCCTTTTCTTCTCTTTGTTGAATCCTCCAGCATAAACCTGGGGATTGGTCAAAAAGAATCGAATGCTATTTTTATAAATTTCTATCTCATTTTATGCTGCAAGTAAAGCACAAGGCGACTGTCTAAACTTATGAAGTACCCGTGTTTGTTCCTGAAGCATCCATTTGACACCAACGACACGTAGGTAACCTTAAATTATGTTGCTTAACCTTTTTTTTTTTTTGGTGCGGGGGGAGCAAGAAATACGTTTACTTTGATGTCCGGTACTCTGGTGCTGCTGAAAGACGAAAACGAGTTAGAAAAATTATCGAAATTAATAAAATAATCAATGCGAAACGCGGCAAGGAAGTTAAGCTGCCTGTTCTGGAAAATTGGCGAAGAAAGTTGCAGGTTGAAGCGGATTTCGAGTTTTTTTTTCTTCCGGTTTTCTCGCTCCTTCCTTCAAGATGGTTGCAGTCGTTCGATTTTAGTGTTTTTCCGCAACGAATGCCGAGCTGGCTATTATTGCATTTGACGGTTCTATGATGCCGACATGCGCTGATGTGTTCAAACGTATTGCGTGTTTCGTCCAATATTTTGTGCTGTTGTGGAATTCTCGAAGTTTTGACGAGACCTAAATTGTCCAATTTTTATCCAAAAGATGTTCTACTTCCCTCCAAACATTCATTTTATTGAATGAAATTCAGTTGCATTTGTCTAAAATTTTTCTGAGAGTCCAACCCCTTATAGTCAGACAGCTACAGATCACTATACAGAGCAGCTGTACTTGTTCAAGTGTATCCAACAGCTTGGTTTGGAAAAATTGTCTGCCAGACACTGCCACTTTCAAAGTGGCAGACAATTTCTTCAAACCTGTCCACAAACTTTGGATGTTATGTGGACAAACATCCAACTTTTTGATATGAACGTTTCCAAAAACCATCCAAGTGAGTAATGAAAATGTCAGTGGAACTCTTTTTTTTTTTTTTTGGAGAACATCTTGCACATGGGGGTATGGTGATCATTTATAAATGTTACACATTCATCCACTTCCAGAGTATAAGCAAATATTTTGATGATTAAACACTATCAGTTCTGGTTATTCCTTGTGAACGCTGAAAAGCGGCAAATAAAGTTTTCTGTTCATTCATTCATTCAAACACTAGGAAAATGATGAAAATTATGGCATAAAAGAAATGTGTACATGAACTTTTGGCAATGTAGATTGATTTGTTCCTCACAACATCAACTGACGTAGGTAGGAAAATAAATTATCTGTAGTCATTATTAGAACATCAAGACATATATTTTGCATGTCAGCTATGAAACAGAATTTATCAGCACACCGGAGATCATTTGAAAACCTGATCTGAAATCGCACATTGTCATATAAATTCAACCCACATTTTCAAATAAATTTTCTGAAGGGACAGTACAGATCAACCTCAGCAATCATTCAATTTAAAAAAAAAAAAAGGCGCAATTATAGGAACGAAGAAATGGATTGAGGAAGTATAAAAGATATGTATTTGAAAATTTAAGGGAATTCCATGTCATTGAAAAGAAATAAATTGAAGTAAGAGAAGGAAAAAAATGAAATGTTTGCTGCTAGGATCAAACAGACCACACCAAATGCAAAAATCAAAACTGTAAATGTACTCTGCTTTTGAAAAGTCCAACATAAATGCATTGGTATGCCTTGTTTCCTCATCAAATAATGACACTCAATAGGCAACAAACAGGAAAATTAACTCTTGTGAAAAATTGTTCTCATTTCCAAATTTAAGGCGCATATCTGCAAAATCTTCTTTCTTCCTCTTAATCTGCATTCACCAGCACATGTCTCATTGAAGTCTTGACCAGTATTTCATCCCATTTGTTGCAGAATCTCCTTGACTCTCAACAGCTAATGGCACTGACAAGCCTGCAGTTGACAACAATCCTGAGATGAAAAAAGTAACAGCATTGAATAATTTACCAATTTGTGGAATTTCAATATAAGAATGAGTATTGAACAAACCATGAGAAGCAGGATGAGAAGAATAATGTTGATGATGATGGTGGTGAGCAAAGGACTGGGCTGGATGGTGATGAGGGTGGTTGTGGTGGTAGTGGGCATAGGAGAGACCCAATGGATCCTGAACATGCCATGGTGGTGCAGCTCCATGTTGGTGCTGAGGAGCACCTGGCTGCTGTTGCTGCTGCACCAATGGATGCTGCTGCTGCTGTGGTTGTTGTTGTTGTTGTTGCTGTCCAACAATATCACATTGCTGCTGTTGCTGATGGTGTTGATGCAAGTGTTGTGCAACTTCATCAAAGCCAAGCTGGTGGTGCATGTGATGGTGCTGGAGCACATGATGCGTGTGTGGTGGCACTGTGGCAGTCCCAGATTGTTGCATGGCAGCTGCATAATGTGGAAAGGCACCACTGTGGAGCCCATGTGCCCCTGGTGTCATGGCTGCAGCAAAACTGCTGGGAGGTGTCACTCCTCTGCACAAAAGATGAACAAACCAACATAAAATTTATAACTCTTTCTCAAACATTAATCCTGAGCTTATGTTTTTAAATCAATTATTAACGCAAGACATTTTGTAAAAAAAAATATTTTTGACTCATTCACAACTTTTTCAGTACAGGGCCAATGTGAATCTCAACCTTTACCAAACAATCTGCTGAAACATTGGGGTAAGCATGTACAAAAATTTCAAGAGCACTTGAGCATACAGCTGATGATACTCAAATTAAAAAAAAATTGTACTGCGAAAATTTCATATTCAAAGCACCCACAAGAAAATTTAATTTGATTAAGCCCAAATAAACGCTGAATTTATCAGTCAAATATGAAACATGCCAGAACAAAATTGTACAGTATACAAGTAAATCTTTGATTCAAGATAATCCTTGCCTTTTAATTTGTGGGAGATTTTGAAATAATCCAATTTTGATTGAGAGAATTGTGGTCCGCATTTTACAGCACAGGGATATATATTCTTAAACACAGCTCATTGAGGCGTTTATTGTAATAAAAAATAATGATGCAAATTAATGGGTATCCAAAGTCACTCCCTTCGTCCACCATTCCTTGGTATGTACCGTGGTCCACTTTTAGGCACCACCGGAGGTCGTCAACCACAGCCGACCCCTTCTGGTGACTGTCTTCTTGACGGTGCCACAGATGTAGACGAAGTGGAGGATGATGGAGTGGTTGTAGGAGAGGTTGGTGGTATCTTGTTGGAACCAATTGTTGCCACTCCTTCTTCCAGGGGTGACAGTGGAGGTCGTATGGCACCTGGGTGGTGACCAGGACCTATACGTATGGATAATCAAGAAAGGTAACAATTAGTTCCAATGCTAAAAAAATTTCATAATTTTTATGGAAGCATTAATTCAATGCTTTGCTTTTTTAAAATATTCAGAAAAATTACGAGATGTCATCTGATTCACTATAAGAGGACAGAAATGGATCTACTGAATTGGAATAACTTAGGCCTAGCTAGTAAGAGTTTTCAGCAAAATACAGTATTGTATAGGCGACTCCTACACGTGTAGACTCGTGAAATCTCTTTTACCCGGAGTACAAATTAGCACACACATGAATTAGATTAAAAAAGAGAGAAAATTGACTGGAAAAAAATTGGGTCATGGTACAGTATTTTGGTAACCAAATCTCACCTGGCGATGCTGGGGGTTGTAAAAGCTGGTTGGAACTATTGGAACCGGGTGGTGAAATACAATTTCCAGGTGAATTCTTCTGCTTCCTCAGCTTCTCCTCTCGGCGCCATTTTGCACGGCGATTGCTAAACCAAACCTGGAAAATTCGACATTGAAATTTAATCATAGCCAGAGGAACCAGGTGCAATGGAATTCCCAATCTATCGAAATTTTCAGCAATTAAGATTTATCTTGCCAACATTTTACTGCAATAATTTTAATGACACTGTTTCTCAACTCGATAAATTTCTTGCAATTACAAAAACTTTCAATTTAAATTTTCAATCGAAATTTTCAGCAATGAAGATTTATTCTCCCAACATTTTACTGCAATAATTTTAATGACTGTTTCTCAACTCCATAAATTTATTGCAATCAAGAAAAAAGATCACTCAACAAACCTGAATACGAGCTTCAGGCAGTCCGATTTTTGCGGCCAGTCGTTCCCGCGCAAAAACGTCAGGATAGTGAGTCCGCTCAAATTCTGTCGGAAAGAAAAAAAAATTGCTTATTAATCCTCGATTGAATCAATCAACAGAAGGATGAGGTGAAGGGAAATTTTCGAACCTTTTTCGAGACTTTCAATTTGATCGTTGGAAAACGACGTTCGATTTCGTTGAAGTTTTCGTTTCAGCCGCAATCTCGCATCATCAACATCCCCAAGTCCTGGTTCTAGTACAGACGCATCGTCCGGGAATTGATCTGTTTCTGGTAAAATAAATATTCATCATATAAATGACTGGAATCGAATTTCAATCTGATAAATAAATCTTTAATTCGAGCAACCACGGCGACATTCGTTTTGCCAAGAGCTTCAGCGTCGTAGAAGCAGGTGACGGTCGGAATTCAATTCCTCCGAAATTCTGATTTCGAAAAAGGTACTGTACTCAAATTTCGCCAACTTAAGCGCAAAATGAGAGAGGCTCAATGTCAGCAATATTGGCACGCGAAATGAACCTTTCTTTCCCCCTCTCGGAACGAGATGAGTTCAATGAAGCATGAAGATGGCATTTCGCGTCGCGTGACGTTAGATTGTTCAAGCTTCGACGATAATTTGATTGACACGTGGTAAAAAAAAAATAATATCCGCAGAAAAAAATAATAATACGCATCTTCTCAATAATTTCTTATCTGCAAATTCATGTCTGTTTACAAAACCGATGACACAAGCATCACAGATAAACGTCGAAGAAAGCTACGTCTCGAAATTACGTCACAGAAAGGCTTCTTCCGCTTCAACGGAAGTCACGTGATCTTAAGGATCACGGCATATTTTCTATTTTTAGTCAAGCACATTTATACGTAATATACTCAGAAAAAGCTTTCTTAGAAAACATCCGCGAAAAAAAAAACAGACAAAAGGGCTTTGCACACTGTTTTGGCAAGCTATTCTAGAGAAATGAATGTCTACGCTCGATTTTTGCTTGCCCCTTGATCACATATTTAAATTTCTTTTTTGATTCGTCAAAATTGTTCGGAAATTTAAACTGCGAAATCATGTATTTGAACCGGAATACCTGGGAATTTTATTGGAGTTTTGATATTCTCGACGAAACGGTTGATTGTAGATCAGTTGGATTATCGATTAACGCATTGGTCAGCTCAGAAAACCGCTGAAAGTATTTTTCAAGTCCATATTTTTATAAGGTGTTCAGGAAACCTATACATTTTTTTTTAGAAATTTTATAAAAATTAGGATGTATGCCAACTTATTAGACCGACAAAAATTTGGAAAAGCTCTCATAATTTAAAACGAGGTTCCCAGAATTTGGTTCGAAGATGCACAAAAAATTGGCGGCTCCTTAAGAAAACAAGCAAGCATAAAATGCAGTTGAAATATTTAAATTGAAATCGAATTTTTTTCTGAAATCTCGCTGACGTGGGACTGCAGTACAGTACTGCACGAATTTGAATCAATGCTTCATGAATTTAAAAAATTGACTGCTTATTCTGCATTCCCCCAAAATTTCAATACATGAAGCCTCATTTTTAAAATATATTTTTTCTTAGCCCTAAATAACTGTGAACAAAAAATGTTCGCTTGTTTTTCGCCGAAATCCGCTTGAAATTTTTTCTGAAGAAAATACGTCTCATCCCGAAAATAATGCTAAAATTGCGATATTGATGCTGATGATGATGTTAATTATTATTATTATGTCACTATCGTGATCGCAAGACAAGGAAACCGAAGGCTACTCGAAGGCTACATGCCAAGTTCCGGCATGGAAACGGAAGCGGGGGTTTGGGGGGGGGGGGGTATTTGCTGGAGCGTGATGGCGCCGATAAGCGTCGCATTTGGCCCACCCGCTTCCGCAAAACGCGACTTCATTTTCTCGCCCCCGTCATATTACAACATACACACATTGCATACATGCAAGAATGCTTGCTTGCTTGCTTGCATGCATGCATGCACACACAAAACGCCGTTGTCGAAGACATGAAATTTCTCGACAACCTCATCCCGTCCATTGTTTGTGGGGGAGGAGAGAAGCAGATAGGGAGGGGCCTTTTTTACCGCGGGGTTTCCTTCAAGTTCCTTTTGTTTCGGATCCCGGAAGTTGATACCGAGCCGGCGGAATATGAGTAAATATCTCGTGATTTTGTAGTTGTTTTTATGTTTTTTTTTTTGCGGGAGAGGAAAATGCTGCTTTTCTTGCGTGAAGATAATGAATAAGGCATCTTATTCCGAAATATGGCACAATGATGCTCACCCGTTCATTTTCTTTTTTTTTTTTTACTTCGGTATCGGCCGCACTTTTCAAAAAATAATCTTGGATGCAGCCTATGGTCAAAATGGTGAATTCTAATGTATTCTGAATTATGCCCGAGACTTGCTAATTTTCACCTACGGGAAATAATGCAGTTTAAGTATCCTTCACATCTGGATTTCTCTAAAAGCTAATTTTTGGATGCAAAAGACATTTTTTTTGTCTACTTGGTCGATTCATATACTGTATACAAGCTTTATCTGCCGCAGCATTAATTTCCCTGAATTCCCCACACATTCATTTAAAACATTCCAGCCTATCGAGAAAAAAAATCGATTATATACTGTATTTTAAAAAATATTCAAACAGTGCTTCACAGCTGCATGAATAAAGAATTACCATTCTTGACGCGGTTTTCAAGAAGGATGAAACCCGCAGAATATGACAATTACTTAGCATAAATTAAAGCGCAATAAGGTGTTCAACCAGTTTCCAGATCAGTTTGAATCTATTAAATCACTTGCAAAGATTCTTTCAGGGGAAATCCAATATGAAGCTGATATTATATGGGTGTTCTTATTTACTATTTAGGGAAGTACGTATTTGTGTGCTTATTCAAAAAAAAAAACATTTTTTTAAAACAAAAAATCGCCTTTTTGAGAATTTCTGTATTTTTTTTAAAGCTTTGTCTAGCTTTAAATTTGAAAAAGTTACTGTTTTTGTCCACCGCATAAACTGAATTTTTAAAAATAAGTCATGCAAGTGGTAGAAACCACGAGTCTCTTCCCCCGCCCATGCAACTTGCCACCAAAAACATTTCAAATTTGAAACTATCTTATAGAAACGTGTTTTTTTAAAAACATTTTTGAAACAAATTTGATGAAGAAAAGGAACAGGATGTCCAGCACATTGTCTAATGTATCCCTCTTTTTCTCTCTCACATGTCTGTGCTTGCAAATCACACCAGACTGGGAGTCAATTCTGGCCTGTGCCACCAGGCTTCTGGTGGTGCTGCAGCCAAGTGCTGCAGACGGCGTCGGCGTCCCATTATACCATATCGTGTTCTCCGTGGTGCCCGAATAAAACACTCAGTCGCGCGGAATTAATCAGCTGTACCAATTTTATTTTTTGCCTTATTCCCCTCTCTGTATTTCGTGTTGTGCCCCGCAAGAGCATAGAAGAAGAAAAAATCGGCAAAAAGGGGAAGAAAAAAAAAAGCATTTTTGTTTGCGCCGAAAGACCCCCGGGCGAACTACACAACTCCCCCTGGTCTTGGAAAACACGCCACCGGCACGAAACTCATACACAGTATACAGATGCGAGGGTGATGCGTAAAGTTCTCAACCCTTTGCTCTGTGGACTGTGACATCATACGGAAAAAAATTTGCATTAACGGGAGGGGGAGTGAGTCTATAGAGCTCGGGAGTTTCGGAAGTCGTTTAAATGATATTTTGATATATATATTTTTGATATTTTGCATGAAAAAATATCATGAAAGGATAGTTGGCTCCAGATTCCCCAGAAAATTATTCCATGAAATAGCAGCGGAAATATTCGCACGAAAGGTCTTCTAAGATTGAAAGTATTAAAACTCATCTGGAAAATTGGCTCCTTTTCTTGGCAGCCACGATCTCCACCTTCGACCCCCCGATGTTTCCAGCAAGGAAATTATTTCATTTTTGCACCATTTTATCACGAATAATTGTTAACCCATTATTAGTACATACTTTAAAACTCAATTTAATAACCACATGGAAAATTTTTTTTCATATTCCAAAAAGGTAGTATTAGCAGTGACAAAAAATGCACAACTATAAAGACCTATTCTTGAACGAAAATACTGTATATTGATGCACAAGGGGAATATATAATTTTCGTGTAAAATATTCACGTTAAAATATCGTGAAAAAAAACTGCGGATGGAGCGAAACAATAAATTGAGTCTAGGTATATCCGTTGCATTCGGGTAATTTCTAAAAAGGCCTCTTCTAGCTAGACATTTTTGGGAGCCATGAACTTTTAAATAGAGGAAACTCATGTCTGGAACTTGCTGAAAGCTCACTTTTTCTATAAGCCACTTCTTTCCTCCTCCTGTTCCGGCTTTCTATGGAGGAAATCTCCGCAAAACGGCGACACGCGTGGGTACATGAAATATGATGCGAGATTTCTCTCTTTCTTTTTTTTCTTTTTTCCTTCTCTGATTTTTTTTTCATATTCCTTCTTTTTTTCTGTTGACCACCGCATCAATTTCCCGCGCTTCAAGTTGACACCTCGTCCGAGGAGGGGGGGGGGGGGGGGGGGGGGGGGAAAAAGGAGCCAATTTTCCAGATGAGTTTTAATACTTTCAATCTTAGAAGACCTTTCGTGCGAATATTTCCGCTGCTATTTCATGGAATAATTTTCTGGGGAGAGGAGTAACAAAATAAGCAAATGAATGAAACGCAAATCCGACTGTAATCCCTCAACACCCTGGTTTCGTCATACAGACCTGACCAAGTGCTGTATCAAACCCCGAATAGAGACTCTTTATTGAGTGAAGGTTGAATAAACTCGTTTCTCAATTTTTTTTATTTTCATCCCTACAGGTTTAAAGCGATTCACGCAAGTTTGTGCTCAGAATGATTTTTTTTTTGTCGCGAGGATTAATTTCACCGCTACACGTACATGTTCGTTGAAATGATCCGGAAATTAGACATTTATTTGTCATTGAGTAGATGTCGCATGCATTTTCGTTAGATATAAGGAGTGAACGAAAAAATGCACCGAAGGATAGACTCAAGTTGTACTTAATTCGTTTCTGTTGAGATTTGAAACCTCATAGCACAGTTATGTTCAAAATACAGTATTTATAAAAATACTAGGATGAAGTTAATTCCATATTTAGGCGATAAGAATTTTTTACTACTACAAAAATGAACAAATAAATGTGCAGGCCGCAATTCATGCAGATATGTAACAACATCTCCTCAATTGAGATTGGTTGTAAAATCGAGAGAATGGCAGAAATTTCATTTCAATATTACTGAGTTTTGATTGTCATTAACCCGTTGTTTTTATTCCATAAAAGCACATTTCAATTGGGCAAAAATGTCACTAAAATAGAAACGGCAGATGGAATTTGAACGCCGCCGTTTACTTCAATGAAAACGTTCGGGAAATGAAACATTTTCCAATGAATTAGGGAAATTTTCATTAAATTTTAATTCCGCTTTTTTCAGAAAAGCATAGAATTGACTTGAAATTGACTCCAGTTAAAAGAATTGTTTTCAATCAACAGCGATTCTCTCCTCCCTGAAAAACTCAGTATTCATTATTGATTTAACAGATTTTTTATCCTCCTACGTCATTTTTAATAAACGGTTAGTCGTACTGTCAAAATCACAGTGCAGGAACATTGAGGCTTTATCCAGGTTCAACTTTTCTTTCAATGAGAAAACCGGAATTGAAGGACAAAATTGACGATGAATGCGTGTGTCAGTGAAATGGGGAAATACAATTTTTTGATTTTTACAGTAATGATGGCGACTTTGGGCAGAAAATGGCGGCTTACATGGGGCGGGAGGAGAGAATTAGGGAAATCGGGTCTCTCTCTCTCTCTCTTGGTCTCTGTCCCTTTGCATCTTTTTTTTTTTTTTTTTTCCCATTTGTGCTCAGAATGATTTTTTTTTTGTCGCGAGGATTAATTTCACCGCTACACGTACATGTTCGTTGAAATGATCCGGAAATTAGACATTTATTTGTCATTGAGTAGATGTCGCATGCATTTTCGTGGAATATAAGAGTGAACGAAAAACTGCACCCAAGTTTTACTTACTTCGTTTCTGTTGAGATTTGAAACCTCATAGCACAGTTATGTTCAAAATACAGTATTTATAAAAAATACTAGGAAGAAATTAATGCCATTATATTTAGGCGATAAGGATTTTTAACTACTACAAAAATGAACAAATAAATATGCAGGCCGCAATTCATGCAGATATGTAAGAACATCTTGTCAATTGAGGTTGGTTGAAAAATCGACGGGGTAGCAGGAATTTCATTTCAATATTACTGATTTGTGATTGTCATGTACCCATTGTTTTTATTCCATAAAAGCACCTTTCGATAAGGCAAAAATGTCACTAAAATAAAAAAAGGCAGATGGAATTTGAACGCCGCCGTTTACTTTAATGAAAATGTTCGGGAAATGAAACATTTTCCAATGCATTAGGGAAATTTTTATTAAATTTTAATTCCGCTTTTTTTTTCAGGAAAACATAGAATTGACGGACTGTGTTCCAGTTAAAGTGAACTGTTGTCAATCAACAGCGATTCTCTCCTCCCTGAAAACCTCAGTACTGTATTCATTATTGATTAGACAGATTTTTTTTTTATCCTCCTACGTCATTTCTAATATACCGTTAGTTGTACTGTCAAAATCACAGTGCAGGAACATTGAGGCTTTATCCAGGTTCAACTTTTCTTTCTATGAGAAAATGGGAATTGAAGGACAAAATTTACGAAGAATGAGTGTGTCAGTGAAATGGGGAAATAAAATTTTTTGATTTTACAGTATAACGATGGCGACTTTGGGCAGAAAATGGCGGCTTACATGGGGCGGGAGGAGAGAATTAGGGAAATCGGGTCTCTCTCTCTCTCTCTCTCTCTTGGTCTCTGTCCCTTTGCATCTTTTTTTTTTTCCTCCCCGAGTGGGGGGGCATTTATTACTCAGAACAAAGTCGTCAACACGGAGGGGAATGAGACCCATGGGGACGTACCCAAAAAATGCTCGGCCCGCCCCGACGCTTATTGAATGCGATGAAAAAGTGAATCCCTTGATCCGCCGGCTGCTTCTTCTTCTTCTTCTCCTCTTCATTTTCATCATCATCTCTCTCTCCCTCTCACTCAGGGTTTTCATTTACCCTATTCTCCCCCCTCCTTTCTGACTTCTGGTATGGGCGACAATGATAAAAAGGAACCCTGACCCATAAATCCACGCCTGGGTTCAGTTACAAGTTGGGCACGAATCGCATCCGTCCCCGAACGCGCGACGAGGACATGCAAACGTGGATCCCCTTCTTTCTTTTAAATTTTATTTTTTCTTTTTTTTTTAGTGTGCCCAGGTTTGCTTTTAGGGACATTCATCACTGCGTAAGGACGTGAACGAATCCCAAGATGTCTTCACAGCCTTTTAGAAATGGTTTTTCTTTTTCTTCTTGTAGCTGAAACAGGACGGTGTGTTTCACAGGTATAACTACAGTTGAATTTTGATGACTAGAACGTCCCCAATAGTCGAATAGCTCGGTATGTAAACATTTTTTCAGGTCTTGGTATGAATTTTCTTTTGGAAACAATGCAATAAAAACGTCCCTGACTTGATGAGGGCGGGCTTTCCTCATCGAACCACGGTATGTCGAAGTTTCTGGAGTCCTTTTTGATATTATTTTATTGGCGCAGGAAAGAGAAAAGCAATGAAAATGTTAGTTGATGTACTGTACTGTACTTTGAATGCAAGAGGACGACGAATTGGGCAATTGAACCCTTGCATCAAAGTTCAGCAGCATCCTTCAACCCAATTAAGACCCAGAATATCTCCAATTACAACTTCCAAAATTATTTTCTCCCCGACAAAAATTATTGTTTCCTTAACTCGAATTTTTTTGCTGGTCCCGTAGAGTTTGATTTACAGTGGTTCGACTGTAATATTTTCGAGTGTTTGGGATAATCCCGAAAATACTTTCAGGATCCACTAATCCAGACATCGAGTTTTGGATATTTTGAAAATTCATTGTAAAAAGATTTCCAACATCCAGACATTTTTTAGCAGCAGTTCTTTATATAGCTGACGAAGGTTCTGTGACGTTTTTCATATTAGAAGTTGAAAAATATGCTGCACAACGTTCGGCAAATACTGTAAAACCAATTAAGTATTTCGAACAACCAATTATACCAATTACAGTGTCACCCGACTATGTTGACGATAAAAGAAATTGTTCCCCAAAAAATCAGTACAATAATTTTATATATGACCAAAAAATTAAAGGGTAAACCCGGATTGAACAAATTTAT